ACGTCACGATGGATAGTCACGTGCCCATATGATGAATAAACATCTCAAGATCCCTAAAAAAGTTCAGAGCCTTTTACCTAGCAGTAACTCCTAACTAGAAAACTCATCTAGTCAGAAAATCGCATTGAAGTCTATGTATTAACATGTTCACTGAAACCAGCCAATATGATAATAGTGAGATGAACAGTGAAACTGCAAACAGGAAAAGATCATGCCCTGCTTCTAGAAAGTGCAAGGCCCCCGCCCTGGCAGGTGCCACTGGAACCGAAATGAGCCGCTCACTGCTGGGGCTCCCGCAGGGACCGGCTCACGTCCTGAAGGAAGAAATGCCTTTCAGATCTTAGCACTGCTTTCAAAAAGCCATGGATTTCCTCCAGGATAAAGGGATTAATATTCACATTGTTTGCCAACATGCCACTGTGCCCGCTAGAGGCGGCCCAAACACTATCCATTACCAAACAGAAAAGGCCTGGGGAAGAAACTGACCCGGTGCTGGAGAAGGAGACCCCCCTCCGCCCGAGGTTCCTCCCAGTGGCCTTGGCCAGGAGAAACAGCCCACAGGCTCACTCCAGGTGTGGCAGCAGCTGGATGACCCCTCCCCTGGGGAATCTGTTTCTTTTGAATGACTCAATATATCAAGACAAGTTGAACTTCGTTTTTATTAGCCTTTTTAGGGAACCCAAATTCCTGTAGATGCAGATGTGTTTTCTGTTTAAACCTTAGTAATTCAACAAAAATAGATCTGACTGCCAATTGGTTCGCTCCACACTCACTCACAGAGCATCGCACGTGGCGAGTGCCCCATCTCCCCCCCACCCTTCGTGCCATCTGAGCTGCCTAACAACCTGGTGAAGTGGGAATTACCGCATCCTCCAAACCAGCAAACAGATCTGCTCTGGCTCATGATGAAGTCATTAAGCCACATCTTGCAACTGTTCTCCAATGTCAAAGTCCTGCATCTCAAACCACCACCCTGACAAAGGCAAGGCGACATTTCTTTAGTCATGAAGAAAAGAGTTGGCCTCCAACTGCTAACCATCATTCTATGCCATGCAAATGGGACCTCAAAACCACCTTCTCAAATTCTCCAAGAACAGAGACAGTAAAGGATGGCAGCTCTTGGGCCAATTCACTGAAAGCAGGAAACATGTAAGCACCTCTTAACATGCCGTGGGCCACATTCCATACTGCAGGGCCTCACCTCTCCTCCTTGCTGTCCCCCAGAGTGAAGAGCGCCTGCCTGGGCCTCCCTCTGAAGGCGGCCCCACCATGCACGGATGCCAGGAAGGAGGTCCACACACTGCCCAGTCCCTGGGGTGAGCAAGGGGGTAGCAGAGATGAACAGCACAGATTCACGGAGAGCCCCTTGTGAGTTTCCCCACCAGGGCTTGGGTATCTGACTCCTAGAACTGGGCTGATCTTCCAGGAATTACAGACATATCTATATAAAAGACTGTAGCTTTTAAAACATAAGTGATTATAATAAATCTTTGCTTTGCAGGCGGTGGGAATTTATGGTGTTCCAGACACATTTACAAACGTCATTTCACTTTAATTCTGGGCCTCAGAGCAACACATGAGGTTGCCATGGGAGAGGTCCATGCCACACTGTGATAGGGAAATGGAGGTTCAGGGTGCCTCCATGACGCAGTATGTGGCAGGACCAAAATGTAAACCACGTCCCCTGGCTCCACCAACAGCCTCTACTACACCACAGAGGGGACTGAAGCACCATGAAGAAAGCCTTTGCTTTCAGACAAGAGTGCAGTGAAAACCATAGTTCTTTTCTGTCACCCTGTGCCCCTACCTGTTCCCCCAGAGGCTGAAGTGAAGCAAGGTCAACAATGTCAATGAAGGGTCACCTCTCAACCTGCATGGAGCCCAACTGCGGGGGCCCAGTATGCATCTGCACAGGGCTGGTCCCACTGCTGGCCCATGTTTCCTATGGGAAAGAAAACCAGCACAGGGGGTGGGGGTGATGAGGAGACGGGTGTGGGTTTCAGAGGAAACAATGGTGCAGGGAGGCAGGGGTTGTGCTGAGCACATAGTAGACATCACTCAGGCAATTCCTGGAGCAACTTACACAGCAGCCATCATCCCACTCCACGAAGGAAGAAACTTAGGCTCAAAAAGGTGAAGTCGTATGCCGAAGGTCACACAGCTAACACATGACAGAGCTAGGATCTGAGCACAGGACTGCCTGATCCTGAGAGGTCATGGAACAGAACTCCATTTACAAAAGAACTCTCTGAGCCTCCGTATTTAAAAAAAAAAGGGTGCTATGGATTGAATGTCTCCTCCAAAACTCATGTTGAAACTTAATCCCCAATGTAGCAGTGCTGGGAGCTGGCGTCTTTAATTGGTGATTGGGATTAATCCATTCAAAGATTAATAGGTTGATAGATTAATGGGCTCTCATGGGTGGAAAAATGGTGGCTTTTTAAGAAGAGGAAGCAAGACCAGAGCTAGCACATGAGCACACTCAGCCCCCTCGCCATGTGATGCCCTGCACCACCTCAGCACTCTGCAGAGTCCCCAGCAGCAAGAAGGCCCTCACTAGATGCAGCTCCTTGACCTGAGACTTTGCAGCCTCTGTAACTGTAAGAAATACATTTCTTTATAAATTACCCAGTTTCAGGTATTCTGTTATAAGCAACAGAAAATGAACCAGAACAAAGTGGAAGAAAATTAGGGCAAGAAATGGAAACAGCAGTGTAACGCAGCAGGGGTCTGAGCCAGCCCGGAGCCTTCACGCCTCCCAGCAGGTGCCTCTGTCCATGAGGGCGTGTGCAGCTTCCAGGCTGCTCTGTGCCGAGAGGCGCCCCGGGCCAAACCAACTTCCTAGTTCTGGCTCTAGTTGTCCACTCTTCTCTCTAATTTCCCCACTATTGTAAATTTTTAAAGGGTGTTCTTAGCACACCCAGGGGAGAAGGCAAAAAGAGCAGAAAGGACCTTTGTGATCATTAAGGACTAAAGCTTTTCTTCATCTGAAATTCCCAAATTGTCCAGGTTTCTTCCAGCCCCAACAATTTTCAGTCAGGGCTGGGCTGAGGTTTGTCCTTGGCTGGTGGAGGTATGATGGCCTGTAACTCAGTGCTCCCAGCTCTGTTCACCCTGGAGCCCCTGGGGCAAGTGCCAACCTCTGAGCCTCAGTTGCTCTGTTTGTAAATGATGGAGAAAACCTCACTCATGGGACTGTGGTGAGGAGTGCATGGCAACTCTTATGTAAAATGTCTGGGACAAGAGATGCTCAACAATCCAAGGTCCTTGCCTCTTCTCTGTCCTGTGCCTCTCCAATTCCAGGACCCTCCTCACCCTTAGGGCCTACCTAGAACAGTGCCAAGGGCAGTCCATGCCCTGGGAAGGGCATCATCTCCAGACTGCACAGTCATCTCACAGAGCACTGGAAGGTGGAGGGACTTCTCCCCTCAGCCTTGTCCTGCCAGAACTTCTCCCGCAGGGCTCTGCTCCTGAGTACCCTGTTGGTCACCCGCCCAACCAAAGGTCCTCAAGCAATCTCAAAAACCCTTGTGTGGAACTAGGGCTGCCAACCCTGAGAGAGAAAAGAGGAGCCCATCTGCTGCCCGCCTCCCCACCCCAAGTCACTCTGCTCTTTGCTCTTGGGCGCCTGTTCTGCCTGTGGCCCGCCCTTGGTTCACTTACCCTATGAAAGTCTTGCATAGCTGCCTGGAGGAATCTCCTCTGGTGACAAAAAAAATACAGCTAGTTCCCCTGGGCCTGACCCCACCCCATGGCTAGGGGATCCCAGGTGTCTGCCCCAGGTCAGCTGTTCGAGCCTAGGGGCATAGCTGACTGTGCCCAGGTAATCAGGAGACAGATAGGACATTTCTACCTAGAAAAGTGGCTGGGCTACCGGGAAGCCACCAGAGAACCAAACTGTGAAACCCTCTGCAGAAACACCAAGCCTTTCCTTCCTGACACTCAGGCTGGGTGGAAAGGAAGAAGAGTCCACAGAAGGAGCCTGAGTATAAAATACAAACCCACTTTACAGCTGCCATGACGGTGCCTACCTGGTCCCGACACCTTTCACCTGTCAGGAGCCAGGAGCTAGCCTCTGTAGGACAAGGGGCCTCCAGGCTGAAGCGGGCTGGTGGAGCGCAAGGAGAAATGCTTACTTTCTCCTCATGTCACTGGAATCATTTCCATGTGTCTCCAGCCCATGAAAGGGGCAGAACAAGCTTGTTCATGAACCAGACCCTGGATCACAGAGGAGCTACTTATTCACAATGACCTCTTGGCTAAAGAAGAGGAAGAAAGGGGTTATACATGCTTGCAACTGACGGTTTACAGGTGATCCAAAATAGAGGCGCTGATGAAATAATTTCTAGAGAATAAAGACTCTCACTTCAATAGAAATACTAAGCTCATTTCTCAGCAAAATGTTTCTGAGTTCAATTTAGAAAGGCACAGTGTAGGGAGGAAGTTCCCAGGTGCAAGAAGCCACCTTCAAATAAACTGTGCTAAGTGTTCAGTAATGGTGTTCTCCTTCGGGCAGAACACAACACTGAGTTGAGGCATTTACAAAACAAACGCTTTTCCACACAGACAGCATGAAAAGCTGTCAACACACAGTTGCAGTGAGTGGGGTGAAAGCAAGGGTGAACCACATCCTGTTCTCTTCTGCCATCCCAGGCCTCTCTCAGTTCTGGAAACAGTTGCAAAGCACAGGCCAGCCAGACACAGTTAATTGCCATTTCAGAAGACGACCCGCTCTACAGCAAGTCAAGGCGTAGGCCAGGATCCGCCCACTGCACCTGTTTTGATGGGCACTGCCCACCTAGGTGAACACAGATGCCCTCAGGCGGAGGCGCCAGTGTAGCATGATGAGCCTGTCTTTTCCCCCAAGGTTTTCCATGACGACCTGCAGCACCCACCACCATCTGGGGTGCCCAGACACACACCCCCAAAAATCTTGCTTGCGCATTTGGAGAAAAGGAGCACATCCACCCAGAATCAATGGGCGGCTGGCAGGTACTCACCCCACTGCAGAGGTGCCAGCTGCAGGTGCTCCAGGACGAGCTGGTTCAGGAGTCCTTCCACACTGGCCTCACCGCTGCGCTTCAGGGAGGGGTGAGCCTTGGTCAAGGAAAACGCAGTTCCTGCTGATCCCAGATATAGGAGAACATGTAAAAGTCTCTATACAGAGACCATCGGGCCAGGCGCAGTAGCTCACGCCTGTAATCGTAGCACTTTGGGAGGCTGAGATGGGTGGATTACCTGAGGTCAGGAGTTCAGGACAGAGAACATCAGATGGGAAACTTCCTACAGCAGATGTCTCCCCTCTTCTGAAGGGGTTGTCTAACCAACCACTATGGCATCGCCCTGAGTATGTGGACATTGGGGCATATAAAACAGCAAGCACTTCTCTTCTGATCCCTCAAATCTGGTAAATTAAACTACTGTTATGTAAGAAAGGGAAATCCACTGAGATAATTTTCATCCAACAACTATTCTTGCTGGGGGAAATAAAGAGAAACAGAAGGTTATTTTTCCTTAATAAAACATGCAAACTGTGGTTCGCCATTCAGTACAACCCATGAGTTCCTTGACACGTGTCAGTTTCATGCTGGTTTTGCATCGGTCCTGTCATACGTCTTGATGTAATTACACTTATTATTATTAAGAACAGGCTCACTTACTCGAGTTCATAATTGAGGAAGTCATAAAGTCTCTCAGCAAGTATCAGTGGATGAAGAAATTAGGTTTAAAAATGTAGAAAGCAGAAATCTCCCTTGCACTGCTATTAAAGCAGCCAATGTGATTCTCAAAATAGATCTGTAAACCTCCTTCCCTTTTCCTACATAAGTTAAAGCCGCCACATTTAAGTTGCAATAAAAGGGGAAAATTTCAGTTTCTGACATTCTCTAGTAATTGCAAAAGTAAAGAAAACACCCCACCTTCCTTCTTCCTTTAGTAAGTTAATTCCATTCAACAAACACATCTAGTTAGTCTGAAGCACACCATGCATAGAACAGTGGGTGGGAGGCCCTGAGGGAACAGAAAGGGCGGCCACTCACCCTGAAGTTGAGAGGTTTACATCACAAAACCGAGAATCGCAATGGCCAACCCTGGGGACAGTCCTGTGGGAACAAAGCCCCCGCAGGTGGAGGTAGAATGGAGCCGAGAGCAGAAGGGAGCCGGAGGAAACGGAGGCCCCGGGGTCTCTGCTGCTGGCTTGCAAGGGAGTCGAGCTCAGAGGGGCTGAGCAGAGTGGGCGCATCCCCTCATCAGTGTCCAATGAAATAGCCACATAGGGCTGTCCAGACAAGGGGGCTGCCCAAGATAGCCAGCCGACCGCAGCACCACAGCCACCAGCAAGAGTACAGGCTAAGGCCAGCAACATGCGGGCCTGGTGCTCAGGAACCCCTGGCCACTCCTGTGTCCTATTTTAGCTTTTTCTTTTTTTTGAGACATAGTCTCATTCTGTCACCCAGGTTGGAGTGCTGTGGCAGGATCTCAGCTCACTGCAACCTCTGCTTCCTAGGCTCAAGTGATTCTCCTGCCTCAGCCTCTCCGGTAGCTGGGATTATGGGCACCTGCCACTATTCCTGGCTAATTTTTGTAAGTTTTTAGTAGAGACAGGGTTTCACCATGTTGGCCAGGCTGGTTTTGAACTCCTGACATGTGATCAGCCCATTTCTGCCTCCCAAAGTGTTGGGATTACAGGTGTGAGCCACCGTGCCCAGCCCTATTTTAGCTATTTTGGATTTTTCAATTCTCCCCAAATACTGTATGTTCTCTCTGAATTCCAGGCCTCCCCTCCCATACTCTGTGCCTTCTCCCTGGAAATGCCTTTCCCTGCCCTCTTCTCTTTCCTCACTTTATGTCTCAACTTGACCCTGCTTCTCCTACAGGAAGCCTCCAGAAAGCACGCATGCATCCCCTGACAACCTGCACTAGACGTGGTCATCATCCTATCACTTGGCTTCAGCCCTAGCCTGTGAGCTCCATGAAGGCAGAGACCCGGTCTTGGGGCCTAAAAAAGTGCTTAGTTCACAGCAGTTGCTCAATATGTATTACCTGATGAATAAATGAACACTGAATGAGCAAACATCCCAGGTGGGAGTGCAGGGGCCATGCCTCATTCAGCAGCACAGCCCATAGCCCTTTCACACAGCGAAGCATAGCTCAGTAGCTACGAGACTCAGCAAACCTTCCTGCGCCTGAGGCCCGGGGCCCTGCGGACAGCTCCTGCACATCCTCAGGTTCACTGCTCAGGGTCTTCCTGCCCCTGGCTCCAGTCCACTTATGCTGTTCTGCTTCATTCCACAGCAACCCAAACATTCCACTCATCCTGTCCCCCCTCAGAAGAGAATCTAAGGGCTTGGGAGTTGTGGCTGAAGCTCTGAGGATGGCAGAGGTGCCCCGGTCCTGAGTCAGCAGCTCCTGCCCTCACTGGCTCTGCTCCCTCTCTTCTTTTTGTGGAGCTTGGTGCTGAAAAAGCAGGTTCTGGAGACTCAGCCCAACTTTGAATCTCGGCACCACCACTGATGAGCTTTGGTTAATTTACGTAAAGTCCCTGGCCTCTCTTCATCTGTAAGACGAGCACGCTAGCAGTGCTGACTTCACAGGGCCATCACGAGGAGTGCAGAGAATCATACTTCTGGCTTATGGCTGGCATTAAGTCAGCGTCGCCTACTGTTGGCATCAGCCTCGTCCCCGTTCTCCTCCCCTCTCCTGTTCTTGCTTCCTCTCGGAGGAGATGCAGAACCTTCTCTCCTTGCCCCAGGAATTCAGCCATCATTTCTGCTGCCTCAAACTCTCTTGGGGATCTCACTCTCCCGCAAGCAATTTATCAAAGTGTTTCCTGCAAAGATAATTCCCTCCCTTAGAAGAATGCTCCAAATGAAATGCTCTCCATCTTATTACATACACAGCCCATGTTTGTTGAACTGATATTGCTACTGATAAATACTCTGCAATGTACTTCTAATTATCTGATTTTGTCTTGTGAGTACCCTGGAATTCACCTTATTCATTCAATAGTTAACGGACAGCTAGCTGAGCTAGGGTTGAGGGTTACAAAGCTGACTATGACCCAACAGACAGCCTTGTCAAAACATGCCGACCTCCAGCAAACACACTTCTGGGTTTACACCTAAAAGACCTGAAAGCAGGGACTCAGACAGATATTTGCAAACCCAAGTTCATGGCGGTGATACTCACAATAGCCAAAGGGTGGAAGCAGCCAAAAGTCCACCAACAGATGATTGAATCAACAAAATGTGGTCTATCCACAAAATGAAATGCTATTTACTCTTTAAAGGAAAGGAAATTTTTGGCCTGGTACGGTGGCTCACACCTGTAATCCTAGCATTTTAGGAGCCTGAGGTGGGCAGATCACAAGGTCAGGAGATCGAGACCAGCCTGGCTGACATCGTGAAACCCCATCTCTACCAAAAATAAAAGAAAAAAAAATTAGCTGGGTGTGGTGGCAGGCTCCTGTAGTCCCAGCTACTCAGGAGGCTGAGGCAGGAGAAGTGCTTGAACCCAGGAGGCAGACGGAAGCTGCAGTGAGCCAAGACTGTGCCAGTGCACTCCAGCCTGGGTGACAGAGCAAGAGTCTGTCTTAAAAAAATTTTTTTAAAAAGGAATTTTTGACACATGCTACAATGTGGATGAACCTTGAGGACATCATGCCACAGGAAAGCGGCCAGGTACCACAGGACAAACACCTACGATTCCACCTATCTGAGGCCCCTACAGTGGACCAATCCACAGAGACAGAACGAATCGTAGCACCAGGGCAGGGATGTGAGGAATGGGAGACTGTTTCATGGGTGCCGGGTTTCCCTTTGGGATGGTGAAAAAGTTCTGGAAGCAAATGGTGGTAATGGCTGCACGATAATTTGAAAATATTTAACACTCCTGAGCTGTACCCGGAAGCAGAATTAAGATGGTAAATTTTCTTAAAATGCCAACCCAGGAAGGAGGCTGTAATTAGGAAGTGGAGCAATGCTAAGGAGGCCGGGAGAAAGCCATAATCAGGCACAGAGAACTGAGAAATCTCGCAGGGTAGGGATATCTGAGCAGAGGGCCACAGCGGGAGCTTGGGAAGCCCTGGACAAGGGTGGCCCCGCTGCAGCCCCCTCCTCCTTCCTAAGGTGCCTTTGTAGGCAGCATCCTTCCATCAAGCATGCAGCCGTTCTGTGCATTCATTCGTGTTTCCTCGATGACCGGTCCTCCCTCGGCAGTGAGGCTGCATCTCCTGCATCTCCATGAGGGGTGCCCTTCTCGGGGAGTAGGCACAAGAAGCAACAACTGGGGTTCAGGGTCCTGCCTTCCTGCATCTCCCATGATGAGGACGGAGGCCGCCACCCCAGGCCTGTTTTGAGAGCCAGCAGCAGCAAGGTGCCCCTCAAGGAGGCAGCACCCTGCAGTTCCCTTATCTTTTTGCAAAAGCAAATCTGACCTTCTCCCTCAAGGAGCCAGCACAGGTGGAACAGTGGGTGCTTTGTGTGTCCGGGGTGTTTGAGACCTCAGGCATGGCCTGTGTGGTCCCCTCCCAATCTCTAAGTGATAACAGAGAGGTCAGGCCCTATGGGCATCTGGGCATTGGGGCTCTCCGTTCAGAGCACCCCAGCAGGGCTAAGGAGGTGCTTCCTCTAGGCCCAGGAACGTCTGCAGAGGTTAGCATGTTCCCTGCCACTGCGCCCTTCTCAGGAGAAACAGCCAGGCCTAAGGACACCACGTCCCCCTGCCCACAGCAGTCCACAGTCAGCCAAGCCCGACTCTCGGTGGGGCCAAGTTCCCGGGTATCTCCTGGGCACGCCTCATGCTTCAGATATGCAGCAGGCTCACAGGTGGAGCAAGGGCTGGCCTGGCTGAGTGACAAGGGATCAAAGGCCACTGTGAGAGGCCCCTTCCTGGCCTGTTTTCCCAGCTTTAAAATGGGGGAAAGCGAAGGCTTGTCTCCCTCAGGGACTGAGCACTCCTGCAAACATTTGTTCTCATAACCCAGCACCTGGTTCAGGGCAGTCAGGCCCCAAGTGAGGTTGGAAAATATCTGTAGCTGTCTGTGCCTGGGACTGGCTTTCGAGAAGGGACAGCTGTCCAGCTGAGTGGTTAGGC